TTTTAAAAAAAATTGTATACCTATTGATCTTTGCCTTAATATTGCCTGTTAATGATACAAGATGCTTCGTTATTTACTGTTTGTTGTTTTCAATACAATCTTTTAATTATGTTCACAACCATTGTATACTCATTGTTTTCAACTTCAAATACAATCGCTTAGCGATTAAATCACTTAGCGATGTTTTTTCCGGAACGGATTAACATCGCTAAGTGAGGCACCACTGTACTGTCTTTAATTGTTCTAAGCTGCCTTGGGTGATTTTCAAGAAGAAAGGCAGGGTAAAAAATATTTTAAAGAAATAATAAATAAATAACAATCTTTCATGTGCCACCATGTTTTTGTCTTTTTCATTTATTATTTTCTTTTTACTCTTTTTATTTTTTGAGTTTAACCTGTAATGTTTGCACAGACTAACATGGCTACTAACATGTATTTCTAAAATATCAGTTCCCAACATCTCCAGATGTTCTTGGACTAAAAACTCTCAGAAGCCTTCCCTACCAGCTGTGCTCGCCAGGATTTCTGGGAGTTGTAGTCTAAGAACTCTGAACACGGAGGCTCAGAGGAGCAAAGCTTCCTGAGCGAACTGACAAATCGCCTGGCCGTGTTTCCAAACGACGCATGCGCCTCCTACTTTGCCCTTTCTTCTCTCGCGGCTTCTTGCCCTCCCGGCCGACCGTCCAATCAAAAGGAGGCTTGCTCGATCGCGGCGGAAACGATCCAATAGAAAGCGGCGATGATTGAGCTTCTGTGAAGGAAGCTCGGAGGGTCTGGCCGCTGCAGGGACAGACGGCGGCGGTTTTGGTGGGTGGTGGGGGCCGGGCTTTGGACCGAGCGGGGCCGGGGGTTCGCCGGAGACCCTGCCTCTCGCCATGAACTCGCTGGAACAGGCAGAAGGTAATTCGGAGGCTCCTTCTGAGGGAGGCGAGGCCGGGAAGGCCGAGGCCTCCCCTCAAGAGAAGGGCCTTTATTCCCCTCAGAAAGAGGGGCTGAGGCGAGGGGTCGGTGGGGGGAAGCACACAGGATTCGGACCTGCCCACGCCGGCCTGTGTCTTTTAATTTAAATACACTTTTCTCCCTCATGATGCGAGCTGTACCTCTTTGGTTGCCAGCCTGTCAGATTTCTTTTTTAAAAGGGGGTATTAAAAATATTTTACATTTTAAAAGGGAGGTAAAAAATGTTTTGAAGACAAAATCGTTGTGGACCCTTAAAGATTCGATTTGAATGTGAATTTGAAGGTGAGCTTTTGGGGATCTAGTCTCTGTCCTCAGACATCAGAGTGAGGCTGTATGGCTGTCATATTTATGCATAGCTCCTCCAATTCCAGCTCTGCGGTTCTAACAGGATGGTGATGATGAACACCAAGTGAGGATGTAGATAATGGATAAAGTGAACATGGTTCGTCACTACAGGAAAGGAACGGTCAAGCTGAAATTAATTGAACTAGCAATTATTAGGCAGGGTAACAATGGCATTATCCATATGAATGGCAAACAGTGGGAATCAATGTAGAGTATTACGCATGGTAATATGTTCAATCTTTTTGAGACCTAAACCACTGAGCTAACCTGCAGTTTTACACCATTTCTTCCCAAGTATGGTGGGAAGCACATGGATGGGAATGAAAAACAGGATTTGGGTCAGAATGAGTGCTTTGATCAAAATAGGACTGGAGTACCTTTATCTATCAGGGATCTTATCCTTAAGGTTGTTCCCTATAGCTAATTCGATTGCTCTCTCCATCTATATCTTTCAGATCTCAAGGCTTTTGAAAGAAGGCTTACTGAATATATAGCTTGTTTACAACCAGCGACTGGACGCTGGAGAAGTAAGTCAGGAGTCTCAAATGGCAAGAGATTGAGAAGAGGACTTTGAAACATCCACTTCTTCTGTCTGTTAGCAATGTATTCCTCTTTTGTTCACACTGAGGAGTGTAATTTACACTAAATGTAGTCTGTTTAAATAAACCAGATTCATAACTGATTGGCTTGTTTTGGACCTAACTAAAGTTAAATCAGGGTTCCTATTAATGGAATAAATAGAAATGAGGATTTTTTAAAAATTGGAATTATATTACAAAATAGGCTAGGCTTGCGATTGTGATTTATCTGTGCATATGTGCAGAGTTTGGATTCTGGATTTCAGAAATCTGGTAGATGCCTTTCAGCTGGATATATGGAAAAGCTGTGTTTTATCTACTGGGCTGTCAGTTAATCTATGTATCTGTGTTGATTCTAGGGAAATGTCATACTTTGCAATAAAATAGGCAATTGTTGCTCTGAATACTCATTGTGGGAAACTTCTGTTTAAAGGTTGTAGCTGCATTCTGTTCCAGGGACATGTATACACTCCTGGCAGGAAGCGGCAGCTCCAAGCAGGCGGGTTAACCTCTTATTCTGCCCTTTCGCTTAGAGGTAGAGCATAAGATCAAAGGGTTATTTCAGCCAATCCTGGTTACAATTAGGTAACTAATATCCTATCTGTCTCTCTCACAACATACTATGTAAATCATGCTAAGTAAATAAAAGAGTTCTCAGGGTGTTGCCTGTAGGTCCCCCTGGCTCGAACATCCATTGTTGACTTCTTTGTTCTTTCTCTAAGGCAATTAGCCTTCCTTTGTTCCGTGATCACCCGCAACTCATCAATGAACGCAGTATGTCATAGGCTTAGAAATCTGTAAACTGACCTGGGACATTTTAGTGAAGAAGGTTTCCAATGCACTTGATATTGAAGTAATGAGAAAGATACGCAAATCACTGTTTGAAGGAGGGAAAGTCCTAATGATGTCATGTATTGAATGTGACTTTGTCAATTATTATGTCCTCTATGAGAGACTTTCCTTGTGATACATGCAAGTTATTATTTGTATGTTATGCAAATGTGTTGTTTCTCAAACTGACCTGAGACATTTTATTGAAGATTGTTTCCAATGTTAATTGATATTTTGGATTTATGTTACTATAATTGTATATGTGTTGCTGTTAGCCGCTCAGAGTGGTATAGATTTATCAGATGGGCGGGATATAAATCAAATAAATAAATAAATAAAATAAATAAATGCACTTGATATTGAAGTAATGAGAAAAATACGCAAATCACTGTTTGATGGAGAGAAAGTCCTAATGATGTCATGTACTGAATGTGACTTTGTCAACTATTATGTCCTCTATGAGAGACTTTCCTTTTCTTGTGATACATACAAGTTATCATTTGTATGTTATGCAAATGTGTTGTTTCTAAAATGTTTATTTTCTGTCAGTAATTCTTATAGTGGTATCAGTTTGTACAGCTACTGGTGCATGGAACTGGCTAATAGATCCTGAAACGCAGAAGGTGGGTAATATCTTTCTTAAATTTCTGTTGAATTTCTTTTAATCTGAATTTAAGGTATAGTATTTCCCTTAACAGAACTAAGGTTTCTCATCCCTGTCCTAATGACTCTCTGGACACTTCTTGCCTCTTTGCTTTCTCAAGAGAAAAAGACAGGGAAAAAGAAACCTTTGTCAGTAATGGGCAGGTAGGTATCCTGATACCCAACTTCTGTTGGATGAAGAAAACTTACTATGAACAGAAGTACTTGAGGCTTACAGAAATGATATCTCAATTGCTGGATGTTGTGATGTAAAACAAAGGTTGAAATGTTTTAAGAGACAGTCATCTCTTTAAAAGAGGGTATTTGTGACAGTTATTATTTCTCTCCTAGGTTTCTTTTTTCACATCTCTGTGGAATCACCCATTCTTCACAATCAGCTGTATTACACTGATTGGCTTATTTTTTGCTGGAATACACAAAAGAGTGGTGGCACCTTCAATGTATCCTTTTCATAGTGTTTTAATAAGAACTTGGGAAAAGTCACTTTTTGGATTACAGGCAAAGTTCCTGCTAAGCTGGGCATGCATGCACATCTCTGCCTCCCTGCACGCAGCTGCCTTCCTCCTCCATGCAGCGATCATGTTAGGTTCTGCTCGCAACAGGGGAGGCAGAGTTGCGCGCACACGCAGGGGTGAAGTTGCATGTGAGAGAGGTGGAGCTCTGCCCAGCGGGGCTGAAATTTAGAGGGTACGTTGGTTACAAGTCCCAGAATCCTCCAATGATGCCATGATGGCTGCAGAAGTCGGGGAGTTTTCATTAAAACAGTAATGTTTCCAAGCTCATAGGCAGTTATTTCACCTCAACAAGTCTTCACTGAGAGCACAGATGGGGAGGCCTGAGTCTGCCCTGTGGGCCAGGTGTGGTCCTCCAGGCCTGTCCATCTGCTCCACTGGTGTCTTCCAAGCCTTGCCCACTTTCCTTGGCTTCATTGTCTTAGCCTTTCTTTGTGCACTCGGTGGGGACACAGGAGAGGGCCTTCTCTGTGGCTGCTTCCAGGGCTCTGGAACTCCCTCCCACAGGAAGCTAGGCTGGCCCCATCTCTGATCTTCCTTGAGCAGGCAAAGACCTTTCTCTTCAGGCAGGCTTTTCCTTCGTTACTGGTGGTCTGAGAAGGGTTTTTCAACGGATTGTTGTGCTCTTGTTTTAAACGTGTCTTAGTATTGATTTTATCAGTGTTTTAAATATAATACTTGTCTAATTCTTTTAAAAATATTTTTATACTTACTTTTTTTTTAGTTTTTAAATATTGTCTTTTTAAAGTTGTAAGCGGCTTTGGCTTCTTTTTAAGGAGAAAGGAGAGGGAAAAATATTTTAAATAAATAAATAAGAGGAACCATTACTTAATACTATACCCTCCTATGCCCAGAAAGTTAAGCAGAAATGATTGCTACTTTAGCACTATCCCCAATCCCTCTTCAAACTCTTTTTTGGAGCATCTGGCCTTATGGGGAGTTGACTTGGGCTCCTCAGAAACCCCTAATGAAGTTCCTCCATCCATTTGCTTTGCTGGTGTGAATACAGATATAATTTAGCTATCGAGTTCAGTAATGTTTCCTTGACACTGCCGCACAGCATAGCAGCTCGATGCCGTACGGTCTTGGCAGAATACAACATGTCTTGTGATGACGTGAGTAACTCTGTTTCCCCTGGCTGGATGTTTTGAGTTGGAACTAGAAGTCTCAAAGAAGTCAGAGAGGTCTTATTTTGTTGGACGGGCTGAGCAAATGATTCTGCCTGTCCTCTCCTCATTTTGCCAGCCTTCTCATAGACAGTGTCTCACCCTTCTGGCATCTTGCATTGCACATTCCTTGCTTCTTTCTGCCAATAGTGGAAGTGGATTTCAGATGATCGGTTGTGCATGAGGAAGAAAGCTTTGAAAGAATCCAAATAAGGCAGAACCGATTTTCTAATAGGGTCTCTGTAACTGTATCTGTTATTATGTAAGTAGCTACCCTGGAATAGATCTGTTACTGTATCTGGCATGAAATTTAATGGATCTTGTGAAACCATAAAGGAACGTGACAGCAATTGGAACAGGAATGGTCCCCTATTAATTTTACATTTTAGGGGTTATGTTCTGGGACACTAGGATTGTAAGTCTCATGCACTCAGAAAGAACGAATGACCGTTTAATTCTCTTGTAAACCACATTTCTAGTAATTAAAGTAGATGAAAGGGAGTTAATTCAGATAAAGGCATCATCATGGGAAATGCTGTGAAGCAAAAAGTATTTTCTTTTCTCCACAGACTGGAAAATTAATATTGAAACCCCGGCTTCACGTCCAGTAACCCACAGTCTTCCTTCAACAATCTCCATTGCCATGCAAACATTTACAAAAGGACTTTTCTTCAATAAACTGAAGACTGTGGGATGTATCTCCATGGAGGCATCTTAAAAATCGATGGTGGAAGCAGGAAATACCTGGCCCATTTATTCAGAACCTTTTTGCCTTGTCTGTGCTATCCTTTCACTCCTACCTTTCGAGTATTAGCATTCTTTCCACCCCACCAACCAGGTGGTTGCCTCTATGCAGAATATGACCCTCATTTGTTTTTATAACATGCAAATCACTGTAAATAGAAAACGGAACCAGTATTTTAAGAGGTACTTAAATTTGCCATTCTCGTTGCTTTTTTACTTCTGCAATTATTTAACAACAGTGACTCCCAGCTCTTTTATACCTGTGAATTTAATCTTTGTGACGTAAGATGCATTGCCCTTGTTTCCACAAAGTGATGATGAAGCAGAACTCCTGGCTCACATTATTCTCCTGGATCGCTCACCCTTGGCTTCTCCCGTCACCGTGAGCTTCAGTTTCCTGGAGGAAAAAACATAGTTTGTGTCTCAACGGGATCACCAGGCTTGTTACTTCCTTGCGAAACCCCCAAGTTTCAGCCTGGTTTATGGTTGATAGCTTGTTTTGGAATGACAAGCCAGGGTTGGGCTAGGAGGATGCAAGGCTAAACTTTTTCTTGCCGGCGAGTTCCTGATAATGACAGGAGCAAACCAAGGGGGAGTGTTGAGCATCATCCACAAACACCTCAAGTAGTGAATAAACCATGAGTTCGAATTCTGCCTTATCACATTTTGTCCTAATGCAGCTGATAATGCCAGTTTCCGGCATTAATTTTAGTTTGTCTAGTTTCACCTACAGTAGTTCTGGTGTAGATAAGAATGATGTATTGTTTTTGAAATTTACACTGGAGCAGTTTTTAACCACAAAGCTAGTATTGCTGAATTTCAAATTATTTGATCAAAAGAAGTGCCACAAATATAAAAATAATTCAGTTGATTGGTTGGGGGGGGGGGAATCCTTTTGGGCAGAGGCTGAATGACAATCTGAATCTACTCGTTACATAAAAGTGTTAACAGTGAAAATAGCAGCCACTATAGCATGACTTTGAAAGAGCAATTTAATTTTAAATCCTAGACGTGCCTTTTTTTAAAAAAAATGCTCTTTAAATTATTTTAGAAAGAATATAAAAACTGTGAGACCATAACCCCAACTGTTGTGTACAGAATATCACACTTCAAGAATCCATAGGACAATTGTGTCTCAAATGTTCTGGCAACCAAAAATTACACTTGCATCAATAATGAATTTTAATTTGATCACAGCAATAAAATTCCTGTGCTCTCCCAGTCTTCTATGCATCTCTTGCTCCTTCTCCTTTGTCTTCAGATGATAAACATTTTTGTAGCAATTGTGTATTGAATAAATATTTTATTTATAATTCTTTATTGGGCTTTTTCATTTTTTAAAAAACACCAAATGTATAACAGTCGGCTGTGAAACTGGTGTGGACATGGGAACATCCCAAATGCTTCTCAAATGATAGATTTTTAAAAGTTCCCTTTTAAATATCAAGTCTGATTGTAGTGGTCAGAACTGCTCATTACAGAAATGCATAGAAAACTTGTGCTGTTTCAGGATTTGTGTAAGATATCCAAGTCCCTGAATCTTTCTCTTTTAAATGTAGACGAAGGACGGAAAGTTCTTGGTGATTTTAAGACCAAAGCCATTTCAAGAGCATTTAATGCTAATTATTCTGGAGAACCTTTTAAAATAATAACAGCAACCCAAATTAAGATTCATTAGTAAATCAGAGTCTTGGCTCTTTTTTGGGGGGGTGGGTCCCAAAACCTCATTCTCAGGATGTGTGCGGTCTCGCTTTTTTGAGGTTTGAACGCCTCAAATCTGAACCCACCGTCTTGAACGGACACTTTCCTGGATGCCCACGTTATGGCTGACCACGCCGAGTGGGCATTCTGGCCGATCTGCCCCACCGGTGGGAAAAGGCAGCAATATATGCTTGTCCTGCTTTGGAAGTGATTTATTCTGGGATGGATTTCCCACCACTGCGGTTTCTGCTATTTAAAAAAAAAAGAATAAACCAAAAAAGCAGCACAGGCTTCTCTTTGCAGGCAAACCACAGACACAGAGATTTTACACAGGAGGAAGGGCCAACCCACACTCTGGTTTTGCCATTGTGAGATGCTCTCTCTCTCCTGGGGGTCCAGGAAGGCATATATATATTCTCTCTTTTTAAGTCATGCCATCCTGGTAATACTGTATCTCGTTTGGAATTGTAATTGTATTCTTTGTGATTTTATACATGTTATATTGATGTGTTTTTATCGATGTAAGCCGCCCCGAGTAGACATAGGGGCAAAAATCTAATAAATAAATATGTCCCCCCCCT